CCACACCCACACCCACACCCACACCCACACCCACACCCACACCCATTTATTCCAAATTCAAGTGTCGGAAATATCTTTCTTTCATGTCTTAGCAATCTATTCTAAATTATCCTGTTCTTCAATTTTTTAATGTAAACGTTTTTTGCAAATAAAAGACTTCTGAAAAAACTCTTAATATTCGTTCGATTTGAATAATCTTTCAATATGATTTTAATCATACTTAGTCTATAGATTTTCGCAACATGAGATGTTTTTGAATCAATACCATGGAGAGACGAAATCAGTGTAATGTAATGAACAATATTGAATTGATTTTAATGTATTTTGATTGGTTGAAACTAGTCAATAGAGTATCAAAAAGTTTTTGATGAGATGCAAACACATGAAAGGAAAGAAAAGAAGAATAATGCAATGTAACGTTGCTGTAGCACTTGTTTGTTTACGTATAATAGTTTCACATTGTCACTCACTCTACAGACACAAACGAAAAAAGAGAAAATGGTTGCAACAATAGTAAAAATTCAACAGCTTGTGTTTTTGTTTCGTTCGTTCGTTCATTGTTAATGTACTTTTTTGTTGATCTTTCATATTTGTTATAATTACATTTACAGAAGAAACCTCAAGGAATCATGCAATCAACGTCACAGTCAATTTTTTTATTTTGTGGAACAGACTTGTGTTTTTGTGTAAAGAGATGCGGGATTGTGTGGGTTACGGCCACTTGCCTGCTAGACAGTTGCTCGCCGGACAGATGCCCGCAAGACACTTGCCTGTGCGATACGTGCCCGCAATGGACAATATTGAGGGTGAGGGTGCGGGCAAGCATCATACGGGCAAATATCTTGCGGGGATCTGTCCGGCGAGCATATGTTCTGCGGGCAAGTTGCCTAGATTCTGGATGTGTTACAGTGATAAAGGCTTTTTTGTGACTTTGAATTAAGAAAAAAAGCAGTCATGCCTTTAATATCCACGCTGATTTTAGTTAAAAATATATGCCAGCAATACTTTTCATTCTTTATTAACTGTACGCAAACATATGACTATGTTTCACATATATGCAAAAGAGATATCTCCAAATATGTTTTGAATCGCAATACATTTATAATAAACATAGTTATAGTGGTACACGTATGCATAGGGCGAAAAGTTGCCGTTGTGGCGCATGTTAAGATTGTGTGAATTTCAAATGAAAACAAGTAAAACTGGAGTATTATTTGATTATAAGTTGTAAAAATTATTGAAAGACTAACAATTAAAAGCCAAAAGAAAACAAAGTTTCTTTTTATTTTACACATATTTAGAATGAATATAATATATCAATAATCACTTTAGCAAGCTTATGAGTCATGATATGAGCATTCTGCTACTCTCACACACCCCTTATGATGAAATTGACCTCACTGAAAAAACATGAATTTAGCAGTACTTGTCTAATACGAGTTCGAATTTAAATGAAACTTTCGCCTTCAAGAATGGCTCCAAGAGCCAAAAGCAAAAATAAATTCTTTCTCATTCAGAATTTTCATGCAGATAAAGACTATCCCATGGAAATAACAAAGAAAACAAGGTCTAATTTTGTTTTGACTATTGGTTCAAATTCAGATTATAACTGCTTAGTATATGATACAACTAAAGTTCATAAATGTAATCATGAGATAAAACTTTCTTTTGCTTCTATACCTATACAAAAGTCCTCATCGAACTGTTTCATTCATTTTTGTGTACTCAAAAAGTGAGCACACTCTAGAATCGGCCAGTGTGTCCGGCCGGCCGGCCGTCCGTCCGTGTACACGATAATTCTTCGCAATTACATCCTATTGAGATGAAATTTTGGGCACAGAATTGTCTCATCAATATCTCGGTCGAGTTCGAAGATGAGAAGGACCCGTCAAGAAGTGGCTGAGTTATCGAAAAAATTGTCATTTTTGACCAGACCATCCCTGAGGAGGATACAGGGATTTTTTCAAAAAAAATATTTTTCTCAGAATTATCCACAACATATATAAATCGACTCAGTTTTTAACGCTGATTCCGAATCTGATATTAGTTTTGAACCAAATCGTAGTTTTCTAACGAAACATTGCCTGAAAAAGGTCTCAAAATGTACAAAAACTGCATCCAGAAACCAAATTGCCTAGATATGTTTCAGATGACCAGTAGTTTTGGGGTTTCCCAAATGCCTGGTTTTGTAGCTAGTCAAAAGGACTATCGAAAGGCAAAAACCTGAACTCGATAGCTATTAATATTGGTGATTTATTATGAAAATACTGATGCCTGTATCTATCATATATCTCTTATAGATTCGTGATGCTGCTTACGATCGTAATCTCGCTAAATACAAACACAAATCCATTCAAAAATAACTCTTCTTACCCAGTTTTCCAAGCTGAGCACGAATCTGAACTCAATTTCTGTGATTCCTAAAGATATTATATCACTCTGAGAGTAGAGTCAGTGGTCACCGGATAGGATCGCATACAGTGTGGTCCATGCTAACTTAGCACGCCTGTGTTTTTCTCCTTGTAATTTACTGACAAGAGATGTATCTTGACGAGCTCTGTCTTGCAGAAAAAAAGCTTGTCAGCGCAGCTTCTTTGGAGCTGAAATGTGGAACTCACGTATATCCTTTCAATTTGTTATTCTACTGCATTATTTGTAAACTAAAACATACTATTTTTTCAAATAATTATGAATGCATTAGAATACTGTATAGAATCTGAAGCATTTTGTGCGCGGTTGTTGACGTCTGTAATGGTACCCTGTCTGTAATGGCGGGCTGTCTGTAATGGGGGCTGTCTGTAATGGGGGGTGTCTGTAATGGGGGGGTGTCTGTAATGGGGGGTATGTCTGTAATGTTCTCTTTCTCCGTTGCTATGTGTCTGTAATGGGGTGGGGGAGCCGCCAACCTCGAACTTAAAACTTACACTCACTATTTTCTTCGAAAACATACGTGAGTTCCACAAAATAAATACAGAGCCTACTGCACCAAGTGAGAAAAGACCAAAATACCGCCCCTCGGAGTATACTATTTCGTTGAATTTACGCAGTTTTTGGCTTATATCACTTTTTTATCTCATAACTTACTCACTTGGGTGTAGTGAATTTATACTTTAAACTGTTTTCTGTCCAATTGAGACCTTCTTTAGCTCAAAGGGCCAAACCGTTCACGAGATAAAAACAAAGTGAATATACCTTTTCACTTTTTGACGTACACATAACACTCGGATTTAAATCCAAGGTTTTCGCATTTATTTAATTTCATAATACGTAATTCAATATTCGCTTGTATTCCGACTCCGCTTAAACAACTCGGAATCGCTCTAGTAACCACAAAGCACAGTAATTATCGTTGAGTATTAAGTACAATG